CAACGTTTACTTCTTAAGTCAAAAGGTTATGGAATTGAAGGTGGTCTGCAGGAGTGGTTTAGAAATTTCTTAACTAATCGTCAGCAGCATGTGTGCAGCACTTATTCTTCACAGTCTCCCGTCCAGAATACTTCAGGGAACAATTTTAGGGCAACTCTTCTGTTTCTCACATATTTTTTTGTTTGTTTCTTTTTTGTTTTTTATTGTACTTTATATATTTATATGCATTTGTATTGTTAAAAGTTGTTTGTTTTTTCATATATGTTAATGTTATGTCATCCAACATATCCTCATCTCTTAAAATGTTGGCTGATAACAAAAGTGTACAGAGAGCTGTCCAACTTGGAAACTAATACACGTACCCTTCAATTTGATATCAACCCTTTAAATGGCGAGGTAACTGTGTGGATTAACTCTGGGGTTTATATCTGAAAAATGGAAAACAATATCCTCCTATTCAATGGAACTGGAACTAAAGTCTGTCAAAGGTGCAAAAGGTCTTGGCGTCGTGATTGGTCTGACTTATCATACACACTTACGATGTAAAATTAACATGAAAGTGAGGCCTAAAGGCAACCAGATTTCCCACAAACTTCAAAAAAAGTAAATAGGGTGGCGAAAACAAGAATGAGTTCTGATTTAGAGATTAAAATTAACCCCAAAAGATATTCCTCGAGCAGTTATAGTAAATGAACGACAATGAAAAGTGGACAGTGGAGAAACTAACCTTTGGCAAGGATCCTTTGGAAATACATGAAACATCAAGTCTTTCTATTATCGGAATTATTATGAGAAAGCGCAGCAGTGTAGCATTTGTAAGAACTATTTTTTGTCCTAGTTGTAGGATGGGCGTCTGTCATTTTTTAAGCGATGTGGCCTTTAGGCCTTGCTTTCATGCTTACGTCGTAAGTGTGTATTATGTTGATGCCGTGGTAAACCAGGCAAATATGTATGTTGTTATGTTATGCTATTTCTTTACTTTCCTACTGCAGCTTCAAAATCATCAAGAAAAGCAAAGAAAAGTAAGGTGTGTATGCACAGAATAATTATTTTTACATTTCACATTGTGCTAATAATTATTATTTTTGTTTATTTGTTAAAATTGTTATACAATTATTCTTAAGGATTGCTTTATGAGTTAAGAATGTGTTCCGGATCCTGTCTTGGAGTGGTTTAAAAGGGAGTCTATCAGGTTTTTGAACAGGTGTAAAAGTTACAACTGCAGCTGATATGAGCAATGAAATGCAGAATATTATGTTAGTGGTGAAATCCCTAACTCACCATGACATTAAGACCCTTGCTTTAAAATCTAAGACTCTGTGGCAAGTAAATTATGACTTTGGGGCAGAGAAACACCACCACTGGTGTTTCAGGGATTTCAAGATCTAAGACATTTTCTGACGAACACAATTTTGTAGATACTACATGACTGTATACCCCTACGTTCAGTTCCATGGTGTTTTGGTTCTGCTGTGAATACACTTTGAATCATGCATTTTTAAAATGGAATCCTGTTATTTTTAGGTTGAAGAAGAAGAAGATTTTGGAGACGACGAATCTGTAGCTGATGATGGTGAGTAAATTGTATATTAAGTGGTTTAGAATTGAGTAACATACTGAAGAAGAAAGGGCTGCATATGTTGAACAAACACTCTTACAGCGTCGTTCAGTCTCGCTTGCTTGGAGATTAGATTGAGAGATGAGGAGGCAATTAATTCTATACAAAACAGGATTTACTGGCTTAAGGTTTTTATTTACTTCCTAATTGAGCAATGTCAAGTATTCTTCAGGATATTTACTTTTTATTTATTTCTGAATTGATTTAGTATGCATGTTAGCGACAACCCCAAATACGTGTGCGGTCGCAGGCTATATGCGTGTATAAATACACGAAAATTCAAGGGCCTCGATTACATCATTGCCAGACATCAAAAAAGTGATTTACATGGTACGTCATTTCAGTCATCACCGAAAATAAACTGCATGCTCATCACGAGACCCATTTACATGCAATGAAATTTTACGACACCCGACCAACCCAGATTTGGTAATTAAGGTTCTTATTTTTTTCCGACCACTCAGTAGTGTTCACTTGTTCCAAAGTAATCAGTGTTTTCAAGAAATAGAGTTCATGGAACGACACATTACGGAAAATCTCTAAATTTAATCTTTCCTAAGCTTTCTTTGCAAAACATGCATGGCTTCGGTCATGCGATCATGCAACGCCTGGCACAATGACCCCCCCTTTTGTGTTATAAATACGGAGAAAAACGGGTTGCAGAGTCTAACTGCTTGCCTAAGGGAGACTAACTATTATTGGCTTTACATGTAGCCATTCTTTTAATCAGGGCTTCTATATTTCACACAGTCGTGGAGCCACAAATTTCAGTAAATCTGCAAAATCACGCGAAATTCACAAAAAACACGAAAATACAGCAAAATTTGGTAGAAATCTTATCAAATACACATGTCTATACAACATATTTGAAACTTATCTCAGCTATTGGGGATATTTACTTGCCGTAAACTTGCAAATTTACATGTATCTTTAAACTTTGTCACTGAAACGTGCAAACAACTTTTCAACTACCCGGCGTATTATCTTGCGAAAAACTGGGCACTAGCCACGATGTTAAAGGCTTTGCCATTTGTTCATTTCTTGAGTGTATTGTTGTTGAAAATCGGTTAGAGCAAAATTAATGTTGACCTCTGTTAGAAAAACGTCAAAAGCCCTGGCCTTGCGAAGTTTGCCCCGAGAATTCACCCAAAATTCCTACAAAATCACCGGATTTCTCTGCAAATTTGTCCCTAATAAATTATCCCGCAAAATTTGACTTTTTTTGCTGCAATGTATCAGAAGCAGATCTTGTATAATAACTGTGAGTTGTCCATCTGTTTGACAGCTGATGTGGCACCCAAGTCTTCATCCGCAGCTGTCACAGATGAAACCATTGAGGTCAGTTAAATACTGCTGTAGTCTATATAATATTCATTTCTATTGGTGTGTACAAACTCATTGATGCAATGTATTTTGATGTTGTAATAATTCTAGGATGAGTTTGGAGCTAAAGACTACCGTAAGATAATTGAGTTGAAAGCTGACCATTCATCCAGACCTCTCTGGGTGGTAAGTTAAAAAAGTAGCTGATGTTATAACTTCTTGCTCACAAAAATAACATTGGCTATATGTGAAGTTAGGGTGACTGATCCATCAGGGGAAACTCTCTTGAAGAAGCCTACATGTAATAACAGGTGTGCACAGCTCAACAGATTTACAATTCTGATTTTTTTTTTCAAGTTTCAAATCTAGAACTGATTATTTATTTTCAGGACATTTTCTGTAACAGATTGTAATATTTCAAATGCAGAAGAGCTTCAGTCTGTTCACACTATCTATGGGGAAAATATACCAAGAATTTGGGTATTAGACTAGATGACCATTNTTGCCCCGAGAATTCACCCAAAATTCCTACAAAATCACCGGATTTCTCTGCAAATTTGTCCCTAATAAATTATCCCGCGAAATTTGACTTTTTTTGCTGCAACGTATCAGAAGCAGATCTTGTATAATAACTGTGAGTTGTCCATCTGTTTGACAGCTGATGTGGCACCCAAGTCTTCATCCGCAGCTGTCACAGATGAAACCATTGAGGTCAGTTAAATACTGCTGTAGTCTATATAATATTCACTTCTATTGGTGTGTACAAACTCATTGATGCAATGTATTTTGATGTTGTAATAATTCTAGGATGAGTTTGGAGCTAAAGACTACCGTAAGATAATTGAGTTGAAAGCTGACCATTCATCCAGACCTCTCTGGGTGGTAAGTTAAAAAAGTAGCTGATGTTATAACTTCTTGCTCACAAAAATAACATTGGCTATATGTGAAGTTAGGGTGACTGATCCATCAGGGGAAACTCTCTTGAAGAAGCCTACATGTAATAACAGGTGTGCACAGCTCAACAGATTTACAATTCTGATTTTTTTTTTCAAGTTTCAAATCTAGAACTGATTATTTATTTTCAGGACATTTTCTGTAACAGATTGTAATATTTCAAATGCAGAAGAGCTTCAGTCTGTTCACACTATCTATGGGGAAAATATACCAAGAATTTGGGTATTAGACTAGATGACCATTATTTTTTAAAGTAGAATTCATTTTATTGTGATCTAAACTTGCTGCCCCAGGAGCAAGTCCCTGCCCAGATATTTACCAGAGCAACATTCAGCAATTATTCCTTTCATGGGAGATCCAAGTTGTTCACATAAAAAGACACATTCATACTCTCAGTGTCTGTTTTGTGCCTAAAGAGCCATACATTTTAATTTTGTAATGAGTGTTGATCAGTATGCAAAGAGGTGACTGGAGAATGCTGGTAGGGACCTGTAGACCTGTAGGTGTCCATTATTAAGAGAGAGTTGACTGAATTTAGAATTAGTTTTGGACATCTATGACATAATACTGCCATGCTGGGTGACTCAGTGCAGGTGTTCATGTACTACAAACTGTGCTACAGTAGTAACAGTGTATTGTTCCAGAAAGTATCTGTTTCCTACACGCCATCCTCGCCCAACAAGGGATTCTTTGGCTTGAGTACCCCATCCCTCTTACTGGCATAAATTGCTTAAAATTTTGTTCATATGTGCATTAATATTGTTTGAGTTTCTATTGCTTTTACTTTTTCAGGCTCCTGATGGACACATTTTCTTAGAATCGTTTTCTCCTGTGTACAAACACGCTCATGACTTTCTTATTGCTATTTCTGAGGTTTGTTATTTTAACTTTTTTTAGTTTTGATAAAACCAAACTTACATTGTCAAAATAGATCGTTTTCACTGTCACGCAACAAAAAGATAAATTGGAAACTGTCTAGTGGAAGAAGCCAAGAAAATGAAATTTAATAAACGACTACTATATAAACAATTTGTCCAAGTCTCAGGTCTTTGTGGCCCACAGTTTCTGAGTTATTTGCCAAAACATTTTGTAGAGCTTTGTATGGAGACACCTGGAGATTGGTGTACCATTTTGGTGCACCCGTATGGCCACCGGAAATCCACAAAAACATCTGGAGTTCACTTTTTCTATAAAAGCTCTTTCTTTTCACTCAAGAAATTGCATACCTGCACATGAACATATCTTCTAATACTTAAAATGGTTATACTGCTGAAAATTAAGAGGAGAGACTTTTTTTCAACGAGGCAGCATTCCTGTTATAGTGTCATACACTGTGAAAACTCGGAAGTTCAAATTGCTGTATTTTCGAAAGGAAACGTGCTACGGGAATGGAAACTTGTACAAAGATTTACTCTTTGTTTATCTTCTACCTAGAGTAAATGAGAATTCTTAAAACCTCACTATTTTAACTTTACAATTTGATGACATCACTGTGAAAACCATCTATAGCTGTCCACGGCAAAGTTGCTAGACCTTATTCGAAATTTAGTGATCTTTCTTTCTCCTTTTGCTTGACAGCCTGTTTGTAGACCAGAGCATATCCATGAATATAGGTAGGTATGAGTGTATGTGATATGTGCAATAGAAAACCCTCCATAAGTTGATCAAATAGCATTGTGCGTGTACGGTGCAAGTAGTCCATATTAGGACTGCTGTTTTGACAGCTTTTGCTGAAGTTGTTATGCGTGTTGCATATCATCCGTTTTTGGTATTAGGCTCTAGATATTAACCTGATTGATCAATTAAGTTGCAATGTTTCTAATTATCGGTCATTTAAAATAAGCCATTATAATTTATCATTGCTTGTCAAGACTCTTTAAGTGGGTAGTGATTTTGATGTGTCTTTTGTTAATGTAATAGATGGGCCTCTTTTTATTCTTTTGCTTTTCCTCACCGTTAAAAAAGTTTTGTTGATGCATGTTCTATTTCAGGCTGACTGCATACTCTTTGTATGCTGCTGTTTCTGTTGGTCTCCAGGTAATATTTAAGTCAGAATATAATCATGTATAATTTAATCAAAATATTTCTTCATTCTTGATCATTTGAAAAGTTTCCTTTTACTTTTGGATAAGAACAGCCAAATAATAGATTGCTTAAAATCAACCTTTTGAGAAACAGAGTACCTTAATATATTTTAAAACATATATTTTGGGAATGGCAGTGAAGAGTAAACTTCTTTTTACTGGTAGTTTTAACCAATGTTTTAAAGAACATCAGGATCCATTAACATATCCTGTAAAATAATTATGTTTTGTTATACATGTATCATGTTATGGGAGCATATTTTTTTTTATGGTAGACAGCCATATGGTGATTTCTACCAAAGCTATCTTGAGAATGAATTATATCCATGGGGAAAAGTATTCTCTGTTTTTTTTGTTCTTTTGTTCTTTCTGTTCCAGACAAGTGATATCATTGAATATCTCAGACGACTCAGCAAAACAACAATCCCAGATGGAATAATCCAGTTTATCAAGGTACGATATCGCTACTGTAATTTCAACATATATTTTTGTTGGTGCAGGAAGCTTTAATTTTTTATGGAATTGCCTCTGGTGAACGGAAACTTTGTAGGTTAAAAAGAACCTAGTTAGGTTTGTGTTCGTGAAAGCATTGAATGAATGTAAGTAAGGTGCTATTCCTTTAGTCAATCAATGAGATGTAACTTTCCCTCTTCTTTGCCATTAGTTTGTATAAAAAGATGGTGCTGATATACACATTTCTCCATGCTTCACTCTAAAAACTCTCTTTGTGAAATTAATCTGTTGTTATCCTTATTCACTCTCTTTCATTGTTAACGGATAAAGATTGATCTGGCATGGCAAGTGCCTTGAGGAATAAGGGTGGATCTGGCCTGGGGCAGTCGACTTGAGGAAAAAGGGTGGACCTAACAGTAGAAACAGCCTTAAGGAAAATGCATAGATTGGCATGGGAAGCAGCATTAAGAAATAGTAGTGGATCTGGCAAGAGCAACAGCTCTTACCAGCCCCACTACAATGCTATTCCTTGAGGAGTAATTGTCGATGTCGCAGAGGTAACAATCTTAAGGAAAAAGGTAGATTGGAAGGGGAAGCAGCCTTGAATAAAACCGGTGGATCTGGCAGGAGCAGCAGCCTTACAGAATGAGGGTGGATCTGGCAGTGGCAGCAGCCGTGAAGGATAGTGGTTGATCTGGCAGTGGTAGCAGCCTTGAAGGATAATGGTAGATCTGGCAAGAGTAGCATCTTTACAGAATAAGGGTGGATCTGGCAGTGGCAGCAACCTTGAAGAATAATGGTTGATCTGGCAGTGGTAGCAGCCTTGAAGAATAATGGTGGATCTGGCAGTGGCAGCAGCCTTATGGAATAAGGGTGGATCTGGCAGTGGCAGCAGTCTTATGGAATCTGGGTGGATCTGGCAGTGGTAGCAGCCCTGAAGAATAATGGTGGATCTGGCAGGGGCAGCAGCCTTACAGAATAAGGGTGCATCTGGCAGTGGCAGCAGCTGTGAAGAATAAGGGTGGATCTGGCAGTGGCAGCAACCTTATGGAATAAGGGTGGATCTGGCAGTGGTAACAGCCTTGAAGAATGGTGGTGGATCTGGCAGAGGCAGCATCCTTACAGAGTGAGGGTGGATCTGGCAGTGGCAGCAGCCTTTAAGAATAAAGGTAGATCTGGCAAGGGCAGCAGCCTTGAAGGATAAAAATAAGTCTGGCAGGAGAAAGCCTTAAGGAATAAAGATGGATCTGGCAAGACCAGCAGCTTTTGGGAAGAAAAGTAGATCTGGCCAGTGGAAGCAACCTTGAGGAATAAGGGTGGATCTGGCAGGGGACACAACCTTGGGGGATAAGGGTGGATCTGGCAGGGGACACAACCTTGGGGGATAAAGATGGATCTGGTAGGTGTAGCAGCCATATAGGAAATAAGGCTGGATCTGGCAGGGGTAACAGCCATAGGTGGAACTGGAAGGTGCAACATCCTGGGGGAATGAGAGTGAATCTGTCAGAGGCAGTCGCCTTTTGGATAGATCTTACAGGGGTGGCATCCTGACCAAAACGGTGCCTGAGGCTCCTGGCTCTGCAGAGTCCTGCTCAGCGCCATATACTGTAAAAAAAAAAACAATTTGTACATAAATGACTGTTATTTTTTAAAGGGTTCTTTGGAAAAGTTAATGTGGAAAGCAATCCATCTTAGTGTGATCTTTTACTCACACTTCAGCGAAATTAGACACATAAACATTATCAGGTTATAATGTGAATGCAGCAATTTTTCATTATTTTACAATTTTTAACAAGTTATACTTTTTTGCAAACTTTTCTTAAGTTTCTGACTTTGCTTTTTAGATTTGTACATTGAGTTATGGCAAAGTCAAACTTGTGTTGAAGCACAACAGATACTTTGTAGAAAGCAGTTATCCGGTGAGTTGCCTCCCAGCTCTGAGGAGTACTTTTAACTTTTAAAATGACCTTATTTAGCATCCTGTATAGCTTCAACCAAAAAGACCGCATTTATTGTAATTATTATTAATTTTTATGGCCAAAAATACTTTGAAATTGAGCACAGTCCAAATTCTTGATTAAGCACTGAATAAGTATGTGATGATCAGTTGCCAATTTTTAAAGGAGATGGATGGCATGTTAAACCATGGCTAAACTAAGTGGCTGAAATGCATCTGGCTTGATTGTATTTATTTTCAACTCAAATCTATTACTGTACATTTAAACTGTTAACCTTTTTTTGCTAATAGGAAGTACTTCAGCACCTTCTCAGAGACGAAGAAATTGAGCAATGTCGGAAACGAACAGATGATGACATTGAACTTGGTTTGGGAGAGGATCAGCTTGTGAAGTCCACTGTGGGTGGAAAGTCATCACTGAAGGTGGAGGGAGAATGTTACAAACTGTGGCTGAACATAGTTCTGTCAAAAATATGTATACTTACGTTACATTTATTGAAGCTCCCTAACAAGATGCTTGAGTAACAATTTAAGTTTATACAGTAATCATTATAAAAGTTTTATTTCATAACTGATAAACTCACTAAAACAAGCAGGTTTACAATCCTTTACAACCAGACCAAATTTAAATGGTTTTTCTTCTATTTTTTAAATAGTTAAACAAACCTTCAGAACCCAATGGAAATTCTTCTCAAGCAATGGAGCAGGTATTTAAAACTACAAAAATAATGTTTTTTTTTACAGTTAGCTATCAAAAGAGCTAGAAGAGTTTAGAAATTCTGGGAACTGAGTTTTGAGGAACAATAACTGCACTTTCACTTTAGGATGCACCCGTGGCGGCAGTGGAGTGCAGTGGAGTTGGAGAATTTTGAGTAATCAACCAAAATGTGTTCTGTTCAAAAATGCTAGGTGTTGCAACTAAGAAATAAGTAGCCATGAATAAGGCAAAGAAAGTATAAAGGAACAAATTTTATGGCAGTACGTGTATACAGCACCAGTTAGAAACCCGTTCATTGTTGTATCTGTAAGTACTATGCACCCATCAATTCACCATGCTTTAAAGTTTTTTAGTGCATTTCTAATATTCAAGTGAGACTATTGATATTGTTGAATTTGCACAGGATCAGCCTGTGGAAGGTACAAATATTCCAACAGACATCTCTGATTACATTGAAAGGATTGATCAGGATGAGGATGAGGAAGAGGTTTGAGCTTTAATGGCATAATTATTATAATTACAATAATGAGATTGCTTGTAGTAGTTGTTGTTTTTTTAATTTATCTTTGTGTATCTGTCAGCAAGTTGTATTGGTTTTCTTATTACAGACCTGCTTTTATCTTTACTATACTGTACAACTTAAACACAGATCTCTGACCTAGAAAACGGGAAATTCCCATTTTGATTTATGAGCATTTTGAGCTACAGAATCTGCTGTTTAGTGATATGCCAAGTTGTCAGATAAATTTATATTATTATATTAGTGAAGTGAGTTATGACAATGACAACAAACTCGCAACAAAATTTCATTATTTTGATGGTTTCATCAAAGGACTTAGAAGTTAGATCTGCAAATGACTTCATTAAGGGTTATTGTATAACGAGACTTATATAAAATGCATTGGTTTTGTTCAAACTTGTTTTCAGAGCCAGACATACTCATTTGAGGTTGCACAGGAGCACATTGAAACATTACAAAGAAAGTAAGTTCTGCTAATTTGCTGCAGTCCTCCTCCAAACAGGCCATAGATAGAGACACACACAAGGAATTTTTGTTGAGTTTCTTTTCAATGTTCTTATTTTATCGTTTTGTGATCTCACCCATCTGGACACCATCTCGGATCATCTCCTACCTCCTACTGCACAAGTAGGTAGCTACCCACCTCCCTCCCCCCCCCCTTCCCCTCACCCAATCAATGTAACAAATATTCCCCACACCGCTATCCTTAGTAGCCTCCATTTTTTATGAAAGACTTGCACATCCAGTTAATCAAACTATACACCAAATGTATTATTTTTGTGGCTTGTCCTAAGCAATTTTAGAAATTTACATGTTGATTTTCTCATCACAGGTGTATTGAACTGGATTATCCATTGTTAGCTGAATATGATTTCAAAAATGACTCAGTGAATCCTGACTTAAAGTAAGTTACTCAATGCCGTTGTTACGTTGTTAAATGCTTGAGCCCTTTATAATAAAATGTTTCTCAGTCAGTGAAGTGGGCAGGGTAAAGTAGTAACCCGTACGTAGTTTCATATCATGCAGTATGATTTGTTGTTTTAATGAACATAACTCTAAGCATTTCTTCCTTAGTATTGACTTGAAGCCAACAACAGTATTAAGACCATATCAGGTACCTCATGTTCAAATGAATGTCTTAGATCTCAGATCTGAAACTAAGGTTTAAAAAATTTGTTACAGTTGTTAAGACAATGAAGCATTTCTTTCACAGTTGGAACAATCTTTGCTTGATCCTAACTGCATCTTTCAATCAATCAGTCCACTTTATTTAAACACGGTAAATGGCTCAGCAAGCTGAGATCTTTAAAAGAATACCTCTAGATAAAAATGGTCGCTTTAAAGTTCACTTTTCCACAGATAGTAGCTTTAAGAAACTTTTTAGATCTTGGCCTTTTTGCAAGTAGTGTTCATCCAAAATAAGTTTCATCAGGCATGGAGAGGGAAAAAATTTATTGGTTTTTGTTCTACTCTCTCTAGGAAAAGAGTCTTCGGAAGATGTTTGGAAATGGAAGAGCGAGATCTGGCGTGATTGTACTTCCTTGTGGTGAGCTTTTCATTATTCTGATCACTTCTACCTTGAGTGATGTGCGAAAGGAATTCTTCCAATTTTTTTAAACCTACTGTATTTTAGTTAGTTTATTTTCTGGTTCAACAGTGTCTTCAGATAACTTTCGCTTGAAAAATAGAGCTAAGTTCTGCAATCAAATCGTTTTTAGTGTCACAGTTCACTGGTCACCATTTAGAAAAACTTTATTTGCTGGTCAGTGGCACTGAAAAGTTATTTTTCTACATTGTTGGTTTTGAAATGTTGTTCGCCATCAGGAGAAACGTTTTCTCAGGTTCTGGTGTTTTTTTCTGGATATGAACGTAATGGTTTATTGCATCTCATATCACAGGTGCGGGTAAGACCCTGGTTGGTGTGACTGCGGCTTGTACAGTGAGGAAAAGATGTTTAGTACTGTGTACTTCAGGTAAGCCGCTCCTTGTAACTCCCTGGAATAATTATGGAAGTGTAGATCTCTAGAGGTTCCATTTTCACCCTTCAACTTATAATAGCCATTATTACGATTTATTTTCTTGAAGGTGTTGCAGTGGAACAGTGGAGGAGTCAGGTATTGTTATGTCGTGTAAATATTTCCTGTTCCAGTTATTAATGTTCACACGATGTTAACTTTTCTTTTTATTTTCAGTTCAAAATGTGGTCCACAATTGATGATCGCACAATCTGTCGTTTTACCTCTGATGCCAAAGACAAACCTGTTAGTGAGTATTGGGTGGGTGGGTGGAAGGGTAGGTGATGATAAAGATGCTGTATTGAAGAGTTGAGTGGAGTGGGGTGAGGAAGGGTGGGGATAACAGAAACTGTCAGTGGGTATTGATGTGTGAGTGGGGTGTGTAGGTGATGATAAAGATGCTGCATTGAAGAGTTGGGTGGGGTGGAGATGTTTTTATGACAGGTGTGAGTGGGGTGGGTAGGTGATGATAAGGATGCTGTATTAAGAACTTGGGTGGGGTGGGCAGAAAGCATATCTGTGAGTATTGAAGATCAAGCTGGGATGTGAAAACAACGTGTATTGAAGCATCGAAGTGGTTTAAAGTTTGCTATCTATTGATCTTGCACAGGAACCGATTCCTGTCTGGCAATTTTATCCCGAGTGGACAGAAATAACCTATACTGCCTGTAAAGCTTACAATCAGTGGCCGTGATCAATACACATTACACCTCTTGCATTGTACATAAGCACTTCATTGGTCCTATTTTACTGTCAACAGATTGTAATATAGCTATTTCAACGTATTCTATGGTGTCATTCACTGGCAAGCGATCTTGGGAAGCTGGAGAGGTTAGTGTCATGACATCTACCTCTAATTTTGATTTCGTTTAACTCCATTGTCAAGCGTTTCAGCTTATGAATCCAAAAATGCAGTCATAGTCATTTTGAAACTTTATCTGTTTTTTTAGGTGATGAACTTTTTACAGACTCAGGAATGGGGTCTGATGATATTAGATGGTAAGTCATCTAAAGATTTAGTTTTCGTCATAAAAAAACGTGTGCTCCATACTTATGACGCATCTTTCGTTTTCTTTATTTAGAGGTTCATACGATCCCAGCCAAACAGTTTAGAAGAGTGTTAACAGGTACTGAGTTATGACTGATTAACAACCTTTTGTTGATATCATTACTGTCGTAAAGATTTTTAACAGTTACTTCCAAATTTGCGAAAAACTGTGGTGGGCTTCCCTTTTCTGAAAAACTGTCGAAATCTCAGTTGTGCTGCAACTAAACAATCTAAGTTTTTTGTATTGCGCTTTTAAAAAAACTTTTATGCATGTGGCGCAAAAAATAAAGTGAAGAAACATCAGAATGTGCAGAGGAAACTTTTAAATCGAATTGAGCTGACTTTGAAATACCTTAAACAACGCTCCTTTGTAATAATTATTGAAGATTTTATGTGAATTTTATTGTGACGTGATTCTTGACTGGAAACCTGATTTCAATCGCTGTTGTCGCAACTAATCAGGAACTACCATGCTTTCCATATACAGTGTAACTGAATATTGATTTGTGAAAATGTGAAGCAAGGTAGTTATACTTCGTGTTTCTCTTTGTTTGACTAGTTGTTCAAGCACATTGCAAACTGGGACTCACAGCAACTCTGGTACGAGAGGATGATAAGATTCAGGTGTGTATGGACCTGCTGATCAGCCTTGAAAGATAGATTTGATTGTTTCGTTCTTATCAGTTCTGGCAAAAATGTAAAAGTGGACTGTTGCATCCAGAAAAATGCTACACAAACTAGATGTATTTAATAGTGTTCATATGACTTAACCAGTAGGCTTGAAAAAAATGGGTGTGTGTCGGTGCAAATAACTATGTTCCTCAATTTTACAGGATCTAAATTTCCTTATTGGCCCTAAGCTTTACGAAGCTAACTGGATGGAACTACAAAACAATGGATTTATCGCACGAGTCCAGTGTGCAGAGGTATGATATCAATATTGACTTTTCCTTGCAGTTTTCGGTTAAACGATTTCATACATCCTTTTGTCATAACTTGTGTTCTATTTCTAGGTGTGGTGTCCAATGACACCTGAGTTTTACAGAGAATATCTGAACATCAGAACAAGGAAAAGAAAGGTATTAAAAAACCCAACGACATGATAAACTTCTTATCATTTCAGCTATTTCTTTAGACGATTTAGTGTAAATTTCAAGAAAAACTATTTATTAGCTCTCCTGATCGATACTTAGGACTTGGTCATCATTTACCTTCGCTTACACGATTTGTCCACACAACTAAAGAGATTGACCTTCGCTTTCCATATTATGTTTCGTTCCAGTCACCACATTCTGGAATGCCTGGAATGTTTTCAAAATAATGGCTTATGGCTCCGCCCAAAAGAGGTACCTTTTTCAGGCTTCAGGTGTATTAAAGGGTAGGGATTTCATTAGTTGACGTATATGAAAGGGTAGGGAAATCTGTCATTTGGATCTGTAAAAAGGCTCAAAAGGATTAACAGACACATTTTATGAATGTGAAAGAGACGAGAAAACTTCCTGGTTTACTAACGGTTATTGTCTTGACCATTTTGCAGTTATCTCAGTGTCTTAGCTTCTAGATATCAGTTTACGCAGCCAGTCTTAATTGACTCAGCAGAGGAATAATTTATAGTACTTGAGTTTAAATTCATCTTTTCTCCTGTCGTTTTAGTTATTGTATGTTATGAACCCAAACAAGTTTCGGTCTTGTGAGGTGAGTACAAAGCAGCTGTCAGCTGCTTAATACTGTATTATGAAAGTGAATATATGAGGAACGTTTCATAAATTTTAAATACAGGAAAAAGATTTAACATACTATGGCTTGGTACAAAGCTGTTTTTCTCCTTGATTTGATTCCATGTACTTATTATGCTATTTTTTCCTCCGCAGTTTTTGATTCGTTACCATGAAAGGTAAGAAACTGAAAGCAAGGGCTTAATGCAATGTGTTATAAAATCTTCAAGCTAAGAAAGTTTGTCTCTTTACACCTGCAAATTTTGTTATATATTTTCCTTTCTTTAGACGGAATGACAAAGTCATTGTGTTCTCGGACAACGTGTTTGCTCTCAAAAAATACGCTGAAAAATTAAAGAAGTAAGTTCTGTGATTCATATCTGTAATTTCCAATTGTCTTATCCAGGCTTTAATGCATTGACTGATATCACTGCTTTTAGACCTTTTATTTACGGGCCAACTTCTCAAGGTGAACGAATGCAGATTTTGCAAAACTTTCAACACAATCCTGTTGTCAACACCATATTTATCTCCAAGGTAAGACTCTCTGTGCTGTATTAGGCCCTGTCCACATCAGTGCGTTTTCAAAAGTATGCTT